CAGATGGGAGGGAGATGGGAGGTGGGAGGAGCTGAACCATGGCTGGGATAGGGGAGAGCCCCTGCAGGAGAGGGGGCTGGTCAAGCAAGGGAAGGAGGGGGAACTGGCACTTTTGGGGTGCCCATGTGGTGCTGGGCTCCGGGCCAGGCGCCCTTTGCATGGTGACTTTCCCTTCTTCCTAGAGCCCTATGAAGTCAGTATTATGTCTTCATTTTATTGAGGAGGAAACTGAGGTTCAGAGAAGATAAGAAACACAGTCAAGGTCAAGAAGCTGGAAAGTGAAAAGCATTGGGATTTCAACCCAGGTTTAGGCAGTTCCAAAGCCAACATTCTTTCCTTCTCCCAGGGCTGTCCCCTGGGAAAAATGAACATGCAGGGTACATAGCATAACCATACACATTATCTATGACAATCCCCTGCTTGTGTCCTGCCACCTGCCACCCTGCAACCAGTTGATCCCCAAGTCCCATTACCCGCTTTCCTATGCAGATCTATGATCCACCTCTTTCCGTTCCTGGCTCAGCCACTTCCTGAGCGCAGCCCCTCTTCCTCCCTCCTGAGCCACTGCAGTGGCCTCCCAACAGACCACAGCCCTGCTTCCATCTCAGCGCCCACCTCCAGTCTGCTTCCACGAAACAACCACGGTATTCCTTCTAAAATGCAGTGTGAAACATCACTGGCCTGCTGGAGGATGAGGTCCCGATTTCCTAGGACCTGCCTTGCCTCTCAGTCCAGAGTATCTGTTGTTCTTGTCCTGCATTGGACGGTGGCCCCCAAAAGGCATGTCCATTTCCTAACACCCCGACCTTGTGAATGTGGCCTTATTTGGAGAAAGGGTCTTTGCATATATGACTAAGTTAAGGGTCCTGAGATGAGATGATTACCCCACATTCCCTGGGTGGGCCCTAAATCTAATGATAAGTGTTTCTAGGAGGCAAGACAGGTGAAGATATGAACGTGCAGGAGAGAGCCCTGTGTGTGGATGGAAGCAGGGATGGGATGGTACAGACACTAGCCGGGAACTGCCAGCGGCTGGGATGTAAGAGGCCAGGAAAGATCCCCCCGCCCCAGTCCAGACTTGCTGGCATCTTGATTTTGGACTTCTGGCCTCCAGAACCACAAGAGAGTACATTTCTGTTGTTCTGAGCCACGGAGTTTGTGGTAATCTGCTCCAGCGGCCTCAGAAAATGAACCCTCAGTGCTCCAGCCATTCGGACTAGCTGGGGAGAAAACTGACGGGCTCCTTAAAGCCACCTGGTTCTCTTTCTGGGCCTTTGCACATGTTGATCCCTCTGCCCCAAACACTGTCCACCCCCTTATTCTGCTACACAGCAGCCAGGTTGGACTCCCCTTACTCTGTGTTTGAACTTGCCGTGTACTCTCTTCATAATGCTTACAATGCTTTACTAACATTTTTTCCTTAATTCCTTCATTAACCAGTAAGTTCTATGAGGGCAGGGACTTGCTGTATCCCCAGGGCCAAGTGTACGGTCGTCAATAAATATTTGCCCTCTGCCGCATCACTTTTTTCCTACCATCCCACACCCAAGTCAAATTTGTCTTCCCTGGACAGGAAGCCATGAGCAGAAACTACTTCTGTCCTTGGCTCCCTGGTGAAATCTTCGTGTCTGGGTTCAGGGCTCTCCAGACCTCCTGCATCTTCTACCTCCTCCTCTGGGAAGCTTGAATCAAGGCTTATACCAATAGGGCGGATGTTCAGAAGAGGCCATTCTCTTCCCTCTGGGGTCATTTCCTGGGACGAGCTCAGCTAGTGCCATCTTTGTCCACACCCAGCTCCCCCATCATGTGAGGAAAGCCCATCTATAGCTGTAAAGACAGTGAACCCAAGAAAGGGGGTGGGGAGGGGAAAGAGAGAATGAGGGGAAAGACAGAACCCAATGCTGTCACCTGAGTCTTCATGCCCAGTCACCCCCGAGGCCATTGCCACCCCCAGACTCCCCCGACATGTGAGTCAATAATTTCCTTTGCATTTCCAGCTAGTCTGAGTTCATTTTCTGTCATTTGTGACTGGACGGGTCCTGGCAGGTGCAATGCTTCTGTTGCCTTAAAGGTGCCATCTGACCAGTCCTCAAGGTCCTTCTGAGGGGCAGTTGTGGGTTCTCTGCTGTAGAGACAAAAAGCTGGCCCAACGCTGAACCTGAACCCCATTCTGCCTGCCTCTGTAGCACAAACTCTTGTATCCTGGCTTCCCAGCTGCCTCTCACAAGGTGCACAGGAGGAGGGGAAGACCAACGACAAAGGCTAGAAAAGAGGAACGTGCTTTGTCAGGCTCCAAAGTTCCTCAAATGCAGATTACAATAATTTGGGCAAACACACACACACACACACACACATACACACACACAACAAAAAAACAAAAAAAAGCATCAGTGAAATCCACAGTAGCTAAAATACTCATATTTTTTTCTATACAGTTTGAGACACAGTGAATCAAGGAGGCTTATGCTCCTCTACCTTGGCCTTGAAGACCTAACTCTAACCAGTGGCTTCCTTCAAACCCTGAGTATTTTGCATCTTTAGCAATGGGACAGGAAGTCCCTAAGGAGTGAGGAGCCATACGTCCAAACAGCCTGTGTCTTCCACTTAAAACTATCTGAGTGTGTCTCTTACCTCAGTCCGTGGGTGCCAGTTTCTCTTCCCAACAGGCAGCCGCATTTCCCAGCTGTGACCCTGGAGGCACCTGAGAGGGTTAACACAGCTTTGTTGGTAGTCAACACCTTGGCTCTGAGCACCTCACTCAAATCAACCAACACTGGCCTTCCCAGCCCCTCCCCCATTCTGGACTCTGGGATTCCTGTGTCCCCAGATAGAGAACACACATGTGCTGCCTGCTGCCAACACAGAGCTTACATTGCACAGTCTCCTTACGTCCTCAACGAGAAGTGTCTTTGTTCAGTGTGCTCCGTTGTCTGATCACCCCCTGCCTCACTCATAGGACACCTGGATGGTGATCAAATAGCTGACAGATAAGGTCAACAACTGAATTCTGTGGCCTCACCGGGATGAGCCAGGTAAGGATTTCACCAAAAAGTACATGAACATGCTCCAAGACTATAAAATGATAGGTAACTTGAGGGAGGTCAGATAAACTAAGCTAAATGAAAATTAATTAATATTTTATACTTTAGAAAACATACATTAGTTCACTTTACTATTTGGCTATGGATTAGAAATTAATAACGGTTGTTAGACCACAAAGGGGAATATATTAGTCTCACTTTCAGGTAAATAATATTTTTTTCATAGTTTCCCTTTAATTTCTGTGGAGGAACATAGCAGTCCCCTGCTGTTTTGTTAGCTCAGCACCTGCCTCATTGCAGGGAAGTGTCTCCCCGCCCCCCCGGGGACCACGCCCCTGCCCCCCCCCCCCCAGCACGAGTGCAGGGGGGTGGGGGCTCCAGGTCGGGGACCTCAGGTTGGTACAATGGGCCTTGCCCTTGGCACTTCCCATTGGTTGAGAGGTGGGCGCCCAATCCATACAGCCCAACCAGAATTCTCCCCCAGGATTTGGGAACTATAACTGACAAGAGACATCGGCCTCTCCCTGGGAGTCTGAAGATGAAGACAAGGAAATGCAGAAGGAGTTGGCAGCCTGTCCCGCCATGTGGCCTGAGGAATGGAAAATGCCAATCAGCAGAACGGGAATCAGAGGCAGAGAAGGGAGAAGAAAGCCTGACAGCCTTTGAGCTCCTAATTCTAGCTGCTCCCAAGGCCTCCCGTATTCCTCTTTCGGATTCCACTGAATCCAAGTAGCCTTATAATAAAATTCTTTTTTGGCTTAACTAGCTTAAGATGGATTTCTATTCCTTGCAACCAAAAGAATTTTAACTAATATAAGAATGTAGTCCTATTTCAATCTTACTTACATGCTAATCTTTAATTCGGCAGCCATTTTGCTTTGTGGCTTCAGAATGAAAAAAATAAAAGGGGAAATATTTGAGTTGGACTCTTGTACAAATGAGTCCACAATCATTCTCTTGGCTGTTTTTTTTTTTTTTTTTCTTCCCCACCCCCGCCCACGCAACACTCTGGTAGGGTTTTCCTTCATTCTGGGATGGATTAGGTACATGCTAGAAACACAGGGGATGACTAGGTCAGTGGTCTGGCTGTGAATGGTGTAACAGGGGATTTTTATGACAGTCACTAAAAATTGGGTTTTCTTTAATTTCAGAGTCCATCTATGAGGGTGGTGTGTTCTCTTCATGATCAACATCAAATGGTCTTTGATCTGTAGACCTATCACCAGTCCCCTGGGACACTCCAAATGCCATGAACGAAACCCACGGCGATGGTCTTTGGTGTGCCCATTCCTATGGAAGCTACCAGAATCAGCCTTTTCATACGCAAGGCCCTGTCCTGTGCTGGAAGGTGGCCGGGGAGCTGTCCAACCAAGACTCCGTGAGGAGGTGAACAAGCAAAAAACCGCTTTGCAGGACTGACAGGGACGATTGCCCAGCCTGGTGTTCCCTGCACAGGTTCACCGCTTGTTAAGACGATGAGGGACCACAGCAAGGGTGATATGGTCCTCATCACTTTCGCAAAAGCAGGTAGGGTGCAGTGTAAACAGACCTTGGAACTAGATGAGCTCTTGCCTACCATCTACCCAGGACCTCTCAGCTTCCTGCTATCAGAAAACAGAAGAGGACCCTAGACCCGCTCAGCTCGAAAAGACACAAGGAAGCACGGGCACTTGTAAATACAGTTAGAGATTAAAAATCCAAAGGCCGGTGGAAACGCTCACCCACCCTGCCCGTGTCCTCCCTTATCCACGCGAGCGTGCCTTTCATGGCAATGAGCTAGTCACCATTTCTATTCTACCTGGAAAATATTTTCTTGTTAATCAGCCCAAGCTCAGTCAGCATTGCAGTTAAACAGGTAAAAAGAAAAAGAAAAAAAAAAAGACCAAGAATTTAGACCTGAAAAGAACCTCAGGGTCTCATGGTCCAAGAGGTTTATTTAAAGATGAAGGTGGGGGGCGGGGGGGGAGTGCGGTGTGTGCGGGGAGAAGCCCAGAGAGATGAAGTCACTTGTTCAAGACAGCACAGCTAGGTGGCTGAGGACGGGAGAGAGGCATGCATGACCCCGGTCCTGGTTTTAGGCTCTTAGAGAGAAGGGCTGTGCAAAACGCTTCCTGGACCCCCTGAATCACCCTGCTCGGGGACAGCCCTGCACGTGTGGAGGCTGTAGATGGCCAAGAAATCAAGGCCACCGGCTCTTCTAAATTCTCCAGGGAGAAAGTTCCAAGGCGCTGGGGGCCGTTGCGGCAGGATTTTCAAAGGCCTGCAGCAAAAGCCCTGCTCGCAGGGACACGGTCCAGATGTCCTCATGTCCCCTCTGCAGACACAAGGCTCACACTGCCGCAGTCCACCCCACACAGCAGCAAAGCTGCATCAGGCTCCGTGAGCCCCGGGCACACGTTCAAAACACACCTAGGGTCGCCGCCGATCTGTCTGCCCGCCGGGAAAGTCTGCCCCTCTGCAGGGGCCCGGGAGCCGGCCCCAAGGCTCTGCCTTCTCCTCTCCCGGTCGCTGGCTGTGGCATGGCATGAGAAAACAATGAACCGGCAGAGCAAACAGAAGTCAAGCTGACGAATAACCACACTCAGAAGACAAGGCCCAATTGCTCAGCAGCTTGAGTGGGATTGTGAGAAAACCGTGGGGTTTTCACAGAGCAGGTGGGGTTCAGTGCAAATCCGTAGCGTCTTGCTAATCTTTAGCGATGGCACCTTTGTTCAGTTTCAGGAAGTGCAAGGGGCAATTTGTTTCTTTTCTCTCCCTTGGAAAAGAGACTGCGAAAACAATATAAATTTGTTTCAGCTCAAGATGGGAAGCAAACTGATGTGATGCCTTCTCAAGCTTCCCAAGTTCGGGGTGACAGCGTCGCCCAGAGCTCAGACTCACCTGAGCACATCGTGGGTGGTCAGGGAGTCCGCACTCACACCTCGGGAGAGGGAGCGGCGTGTGATTCTCCCAGACTTACACGCACCTAAAGAAATAGTCATCCTCCTGTGTGAAGGAGAGACACTCGAACAATAGACGTGGCCGGGGCTGAGTGGACTTGGAATCTTCTGTTGTTGAGAAGGATGTGGCAGGTTCCTCTACGCGGAGGACTTCTTGATCCCTATTATCTTACTGGCTGTTGGATGTGTCCCCTGGTACCTGAATAGAGGTGGCAGAAGCTGGCTAAGAGGAGAAAACTGTTCTCACTCGGGTTCTATAAATTACTCATATTCTCACTTTGATATCAAGTACGGTATGTATTAGAGTGCATGGTTTTGGCTAGAACCAATTTGGAAGGCTATCAAATAAAAAAAAAAAAAAACCACAAAATAGGGAAAATAAATCCGAAGTAAAATTTATGACATGATTTCACTCCCATTACATTCCCCTTAACAAATGCATATGTTTTACAATATCTTGAATAATAATTATTAAACATAGTAAAATACTTCCAAACTTGGCTCATTGCATAATTGTACTTCAAGTGAAAAAAAAATTATCTGAAGCCTTGTCAATATGCCACTTCCTCCCCCCGCCCCCCCGCCAGCTTTTAACAGAAGCAACCTCTCCCGTGGAATAATCCAAGCTGTGTTCAAGAAGTTGGCAAGTAGGTCCAATTAAATGTGGTTTTACTGTATTCTGGCGTTTGCATATCTAGTTTGCCAAGAAGTAATCTTTCACAAAAAAAAAAAAAAAAAAAAAAAAAATCTGTACTGGCCCAGACACAGCCTGGATGGTGCAATGCATCACATAACTTTACCCCATGACTAAGATAATCTTTTTTTTTCTTAAATAGCTGTGGAAAACGTATCATACATCCATCATATTTCTATATGAATCACAAAACACCATCCCTTATGGAGTCTCTTACATTTATACATGACAAACTGAAATTCATCTCAATAGCCCTGTTTATTTTAATTATTAAACACGGAAGGGGTTCGCTCTTGGCCACCTGAGCTTGATGAATTTATTCAGATGGACTCCAGTCGGATTATGTGAATGGGGCTGTAAATGACCTATTGACTATTGAACACCGGCGTGTCAAAGCCGCAGTCATACACATTCACGGACCTCGGTACCTGAACCTCAGGGAGTGAGATGCTTCTCTGAGCTTTGCAGATGAAATCTGGGGCCATTCTTTGCTGGGGCTTTGCACGCTCCTGATCCCTTACGGAGGAGCGGACTCTCCTAGTCCCTTCCAGCTAACCAACGCTCTACGTGAACCATCAGCCGTATCCAAAGTCCAGATGGAAAGCTGTCAACAAAGAGGCTCCTTCCGCTCTGCCTACTGCATGATTCATCCCTGGCACGAAGACAGGCCCGGAGATGGCCCCACCACCTTGACTTCCATAGGTGAGCCAGGAGCAGAGCACAGGTGCCCACTCCCCGGCTCAGCAGGGAGGGATCAGGTCAGAAAATGCCGCAAAACGCACAACCTGGCCTTTGTGAAAACCATCATGAGCTCATTAAAAACACATGCAGAAATGGTTAAACAAAATCCTCTAAACCTTTCACAAAATTGCCAGTCTATTAGAAGGACTGAGCTCACAGCAAACTCTCCTTTCCAATGTGTGCGATGGGGCAGCTAATGTCCTTTGGACTCTTGTCTATGGCACTGAGCGGCGGGGGGGGGGGGGAGGCGGGGAGGGGGGACCCGTTTGTTTTTGGTTCTTGTTTTTCAACTTTTTCCTAACCCAAACTCTTAAATACATCAACCAAAAGGACCTATTGCACCAAACGTGTCTTCTTAAAGTCATGGCCTTTTAAAAAAAAAAAAAAATCTACGAAAATTATAAAATAAAAAGGAAGATTTGCGTCATTATATCAAGGGGAGAAAGGAGGAAAAGAAAAAGAGGCGAGTGTGGCAGGAATCCTTTTGTAAAGTGGCACTGCATCAAAGAGCCAAGCGGACACTCCGAAAGGGCTTTCCGACGCCTGTTTACATGGGCAAGACGGACCGTAAGTTTATTCCAGGCAATAAATAGCTACTCAAAGTTTCCCTAAAAGGAACACAGCAGCTCTGCATCTCTTCAAGGTGTGGACTTTGAACAGGTGCATCTTCGTCTAAAGGGACTTGCTCATCATCGTGCCACAGCGTGGCTCTAAGCACACGTAACGTAGCAAGCACATCGGTGATGTGAGGCCAGAAACGGAGAGGCTGCGAGCTCTGATCTGGCATGTTCCACCTTCTCCTGGTGAGATCGGAGGAACCCACTGAAGGCTCTGGGCGAATCACTTTAATCTGTGTGCTTCCCTGGGGAGCGGTGCCTGTTCGTTATCGTGATCTATATTAATCATGCTGTTGTTTGTATTATGATGCAAGTATAAACGTGAACCAGAGCTTCCGTCTTGGTCTCTTCAACATTAAAGGGGAAAAAAAGTATCTGTGTTCCACTTGGGTTTTTGGATTCGATCATCAGAGAGTTGAAAAGGCTTTGAGAGATTTGGCAGAGGAACCAACAGTGGCATGTGAGTTACACAAGGTTCGTGTAGGTAAACGTGTGGACATCTACCAGCCCACCTGGGAATGTGCAACCGTTCCCATGACTGTGCTCCTTTCCTGTTTGCCCCGCACTTAGAGGCTGCTTTCCTCCAGGCCTGCTTAAAACTGAAATAAAGTTGAGGCATTAAGTGCTCCGTGGATTAAAATCATAAAATTCCACCTTAAACACAATCCACATTGGTAAGAAGGCTGGATGCTAAGGAGAAACTTCCTCTCAGGGTAAGAAATAATAATTGTCATAACAGTGATGTCACCTCAGATGACAGACTCAGCCCCTTGTCTCTGAGCCTAACGTTTTGCACATCTGTGGTCACATTATTCTAAGGAAGAAGGTGAGGTGGGCATTACTCTGGTCTCAGAAACGGAAAAATGAAGGTGTCAGGGCACGGTCCCTTCCGTGTCATTGGTAGACCTTCGGCAAATTTCTCCTCAGTCTTCTGTTCAGCAGCCGATCCTGAGAGAAGGAGGTGAGAAACATTCCAAGAACTGAGGCCAATTTTCAGATTAAGCGGAAAACTATTCAGTTCTCCCACTTGGGCGACAAAATGAGTTTCGAGGCTTCTGTCTGGCTGCCACCCGGCCATGCCGCCATGTTTCTTCTCTCCCTCTCAAATGGCCAGCGACAGGTCTGTCAACCCTATAGTCAGTAGCCCTGCAAGAAGCAGGGCCTCGTTGTGGTTGAACAAATAACATGTTTTGGAAACCCAAGCAACTCTTTTTGTGGCCGGGAGCAGAGAGAGAGAGCGTGTCAGTCAGTAGACTTCTGCCAGGGTTTCCGCTCCTGGAAAGCCTGAGGCAGAGGGCCCAAGACATGCCTACCTCTGACACCGGCAGAGAGTGTTCTTCTGTGATGTTTTTAAAATAGTTGATAGGCTCGAAGCCAGGAAAAGACATCGTAGAATTCCAGTCTTGGGTTCAGTTTGTAAATACACACAGCAGACAATGGTAAGCGCAATGGTGGTAAACATATAATTCCATGATGCAAAGTTTATCTCCTGGGCATAACCAGAATGTAGATTTCAGATTCAGACGCCACCAAAGTTGTGCCCAGAGTGAGGAATTCACCCTTCGTGTGCTTCTAAAGAGAGGAAAACCTCGTGTCTGAAATGATAGATGGTCAATGGCTTGGGGAATGTATGAAATGTTTGCAAAAATCCTTTCAGTTCCTTCCCCTCCCCTATGCCTAGCTCTGCACCTGCCCCTCTATGCCCAGGATAAATAAACTGGAAATCACTTTTGTTCCTTCAAGCTCTGAGTTTTTGTGATTTTAGATGGGTCTCTGTGGAAGCCCATGTGCTACGGCAGTCTGTAGGGGAGGGTATCCGACACACAATACAGGTCTTCAAATGATGGAGAATAATTGGACCATTAGATTATTTTCAAATTCTGGCCATTAGATTGTTACAATCCGAATAACAAAATTAATTCATTATTTCAAGAACATTCAGTCCAGAATGCAAATTTTAAAAATTCAGGATACAGAAGTAAGCCTGGGATTGTTTTTGTTTATAATGCTTAAAAGTTCTGTTATTTTTGGAGAAGGAAAAAATTATATATGTATTATTAAGTAAGAATAACAATGTGAGGATTGATTGCCTTCAAGGGCATCGTTTGACTGACTTTTAAATGGAAACACTTCAATCATTAAAATCCTTCCATGCTGGTCAAGCCTCCAAACCCGCCTGTATTTTGACTAAAGTATTATTTATACTGCAAGATAAGCACCTTTACGAAGCAAATGGAACACAAATGATGACAAACCCTCCCTCCCTCCCCTCTTGCACATAAGTGATTCTAGTACTGCTCTGAGGCATCCCTCAAGTAAAATAACATATAAATAGAATGTGAGAAATTACCACATTTTCTAGACTCCACACTTAGTATGAAAAACAAAACTTCACTGTGCCCCAACATCCCCTCTAATTTTGTTTTCTCTTAACCTAGGGATTTCATGCAGTTCAGTGTCATTTGTCGTAATAAGTCCCCGGAAATACCTCAAGCTCCTTTGTCCGAGTGCTCCGCCCGTACCACCCCCCACCCCCCCAGCCCGCCCATGTAGTTTGCTGGTGCAGACTGGCAAATACGGCCAATCTCAATGTAGTTTTCATTTCAAAGTCGTTTCCATTCTTTCACGATGGTAGAAATTCAGACATGACACCGACTGGGTTGGAAAATTCATGGGTGCAGAGTGGTGTCAAAACCACTCCTTGCATAAAATTTTACCCTCTATAGGAGGGACATGGAGACATGGAGAAAACAGGACATTATATGAAGTATAAATTTCAGTTTGGGTCTCAGTAGAAATAAGAACGTAAAGGCATATTCCCGTATTGCATCTGCACCCCTCACCCCCTCCAGTTTCTTTGGGTTTATTCAGTTGCGAAGTCTTGGGGATCCTGAAATCTTAAACAAATGTATCGTGTCTGTGCTTTGATTGTAAACCTGCACCATTGTCCCTTCCTGGCCCATCCTTGAGAGGCTGTCTTTCTCAAAGGCAGTTAGTTATAGAAATAACTTCATAAATTTGATCTTCTTGGGATATGATTCTGTGCTCAAACTTCTATCCGGTGAGGGCTGTAAGTTACACAGAGAAACAGTGTAAAACAGGAGAAAGGGATTTTTTTTTTTTACACTGTTTCACCAACTTCTGTGGCTGTGGCTCACAAGCAAGAAATACTTTTCTTAAATGTTTTAATTCTCCATTAGTATACCATTGTGCTTTTCTGAAAATTGTCCAAATAGACATCCTTAGGAAGCATTGTTGTCTGTCTAGTAAACATGAAAGAGGCATTTCAATATTACCAAACAGCTTGTTTACACGATACAGTTCCAAGGAAGTGGTCCACAGAAAAGATATATGTATAGTTTCAGTCTGCTTTTTAAAACAAATGTAAGAGATTCCCATGAAAAGCCTGAATGTTCTTCCTTTGATCAAAGATCATCTCAGAGCATTCGACATACAAAAAAATGTTAGTGTCTTTCTTAATCCTTTCAGAGGTAAAGTGCACACTGCATTGAGTAGTATTTTTTCAATGAAGTAAATACACCCTTCTTTATGAGTATTCTAAGTAATGGATATTTTTTAATCACACACGGTTAAGATGCATTCCTTTACGCTCTGTCACATGTCAGAGTTAGCTTGGGCCCGGCATAGCACACACAAATAAACTTTTCCCATTCCTTCAAGTTCAGTACTGTTGTATAAGCATTATGTACTGAAACACCATATTTAATCTGCCCTCTAAATGTTTCCTAATATTCAGATACATTTTCCATGCACCACTTCATACTAACTACAAATCTACTTCTTAACAAACTTCGATATTTAGGCCAATAGGATTTCTTCAATTCCTATGCAGTCATATTCAGCATGCATACTGACATTTAATAAAAACGACCTGATTTAATGATTAACTACAGAGATTATAACACACTGTAAAATAAGTCATTTCCGTGAAGGGACTCTCTATGGGTGTCATACTGCCTCTCAAAGCCACTCTAAATATCCTCACTGAAACTGTTACGGACTAATGTGCCACATTTTAAAGCCAAATTGGGTTTTCACTCTTCTCTTGCCAAACAGAGAGAATGCCTCCTATAGCAAAAGGCAGATTCAACTGCACACCCATTCCCGAAGATTAGAAAGAGGGCGAAAGTGCCTGGAAATTCAAGGAAAATTTTAGTTTCAAAAAATTGTTTTGTAAAGTACCCTTCA